GAGTAGGAGGGGGAGGAGTCTGAGGCCAGCATGTGTAGGAGTGAACCCCACAAAGCTATCCGCCCATGAGGGCGGGGACAAGTAAATTCGCACAGGTAGAGATAAAAGGAAGCGAAAGGAAAAAGGACCTCCTCTTTTGAAAGCAGGCCACGCTTCTGATTCCAGCTTGTGTGATTCTCTCTCTGGTAAATAAATATATTGTATTCCCTATTGCATTGACTATCGTCATTATCTGGTGTCAGAAGTGGGATCATGAATTTCCACGTAGAATGACAAAAGCTTTAAAGGAATTTTAGAAACAAAAGAACGGAGAAAAGCATGGGTTCTTGGTGGCAGCATTTTTCTCAGGTGGGCTCTGTTTTGCTATCGACAAGCAGAGACTCGCGAGGCTCACTTAAAGGAGTCTTCCTGACTCAGCATAAGTTAAAAACAAAACAAAACAAAAACCAGCAAGGTCCTTTTAAGAGGCTCTGCTAACAATTGAAAGGTGTGTATGCACAGCTGGAAGTGGCAGTGACCACATCTCCAAGCCGGCAGCTTTTGCTGGATATCAGCATAGACTGAGGCTGTGAGCTGGAGTCACGCTTACGCCCGCCATCTTGGAAAAACTGCAGTTTAAACAGCCGCGGTTTTAACAGATGAGACACATGGCCAGAAAAACATAAAGATTTACAGTAATGTCAGACGTGGATGAAGAAAAACCTCTAAAGGTTTACAGTGTGTTTAAAAATATACGTAGGATTGAGAGAGAAAAAGAAATGGCATAGTGTTAAATAAGTAGAGAAGCCGGCTGTGGTGGCGCACGCAGATAGGATTCGCTCCAGAGGCAGAGGCAGAGGCAGGCAGATTTCCAGAGAAAACCTGCCTCTGAGAAATAAATAAATAAAAGTAAAAGAAATAGAGTAATAATAATAGATAATAAGCCACATAAAGATGGAAAATACACAGAAAGTCTGGATACTGTATGCTATTGTGTTTTTCAGTTTTTTCATTACTAAAGAAGGAAAAACTGCTAAAGTATACTTGATTATAAATGCTGTTGAATTAATCCAAGTTATATATTTCAAAAATGCTTTGACTTCTAACTTTAATTATAAGGACCGGTTACTTTGGAAAAGAGTTTTTGCTTATGTTTCCACAGAAAATGAAAAGCTGAGGATTCCTTCCAGGCTTCTGTGGTTTGATGAACCAAGACCCCCGGAAGCAGGGGCCCAAGTGATTCAACATCTAAAACAGCTTAGATGATGGAGCTTTACAGACCACAAAAATAAGGACTTATACAGGTTTCTGAGTTTTGTCATGATCCCCATGGTATGAACAGCGCCCCCTTCCAGCATGAAGCAGTTTGGAATGAGCGACATCCAAATCCCCATATTGTTTATAAAGCTTAGTTTTCATTTGAATGGGGTTGCTTATAATTGGTTAATGATCACAACCAATCTCTTTTTAAAGGAAAAAGGGGATTATGGTATGGAAATGAGCACTTTGTATTGGTATGGTTTTTCATTTATTGATCAAATTCAAGGTCAATTTTGTGATATGTATATTTCTCCTCTTGATTTAGTATTGTGTTTATACTGATCTTTTAAAACATAATACATAATATATACAGACTATAGATAGTTACTTATAACAGTCAGAACTTATAGTTAGGTAAGTTAGGTTTTCTAGATATACAGAAATATATTTGAGATAGATAAACAGTCTTCAAACCTTTCAAAAACCTTCAGAACATGGCATTTAAAATGGTTTAGGGTTTTTCTTGACAATGAGAAATGTCTGCTCCTGGCAGCACCAATTACGTCTGAGAGGAAGATGGGCATCGAAGAAACTCATTATGGAGTTTGATTTCAACATGGCAAGATTAGACATTTGGGCAAGAAACTGCTCTTGTCTGGACTGTTTGACTGTTGCTGTATAAACTGGATATGCAGGACCCACAGGAAAGTGACTGTTGAACTCAAATAGTCATTCAGGGTTCCTGCTTCATGAAAGAGTCTACGAGACTTTCTGCAGGACACAGAGAAATGACTGACAGACTGCCAACACAGATGGACAGTTTGAAATTTCCTGCTTTGCTGAGAAATCTTCTGGACACATTGTGGCCTATGGGCTGAAGATGGATGCCCCAACGTTACAGAGGAACTTTGGGTGACTGTCCAAGCAATAAGATGTCTCTGTCAATCCTAGTGTTTATATATTATCCTTCTGTGGTCTTTGATGGAGTTGAAGACAAATAGTTATAATCATAGTTTTCCTTAGTTATGATAAAAGATAATTATATATAAGACTTTAGACTCACACAAACATAGGATAGATGATAAAAATACTTTCTCTAAATTTTACTAAATGTTAATGGACAAAATATTGTAACTATGTTCTTACTTGATAACTGTTCTGTTACATATAATTTGACTATGTTAAAGTTAAGACCTTTCTTTTTGTTTATACAGAAAAGAGGAGATGATTGGGAAGTCCTGAGTATATGTCAATAAAGCATTGTTGGCCAATAGGGAAGCAAGATAGGTGGGACTAGGAGTCGAGGAAGACTCTGGGTAGGAGAAACACAGGGAGTCATCATGTAGCTGCCATAGGGGTAAGAAGTTCAGACCCTATTCTCCAGTAAGAGAAATACTTAGAATAACAATTATGGGATTAATACTTAAGTCAGAGCTAGCCAGTAAGAAACAAGCAAGGCCAACAGCTTCATAATTAATACAGCGTCTTGTGTGTTATTTGGGGACTACAACGTGGCAGAGCCCAGGCGACTGGAGGAAAAACCAAAGTGGCTGACAAGGAAAAGGCTTCTCTCAACAAGCATGTGACACACAGTGAGACTGCATCAGAACAAAGGGCACACAGACCAGGGTAGCCAAAGAATCCCCATGTGGACACGTGTACACTTCAGGTGCCTGTGGGACATCCACGTGACAATGCCCCACAGATATTCTGAAAAACGAGTCACGCCGAAACTGGAGGTTGAACCTAAGCTCATCAGCAGCTGCCACCTGAAGGCTCCTGTCCTTTGCAGCTGCGGGATGCTTGCCCTGCCAAACGTGCTAAGCATCAGCTGCTGATGGTGACACGGTCCTGGTGTCAGACTACTCAAGTTGAATCCCTGAACTACAGTGACAGGGCCAGGCCTACCACAGTCTCCAAACTGCTCACTCGGCAGCGTAAAGGGGAGAAAAACTCATTACGGAGCCATCTGTCCTGAGATCCTGTCCTGGGTTCTAAGGCAAGGAGATCAGAAGCGTCCTGAGAATTGAAATAGCACACACGGTGTGGGCAAGCTCTGCTGATGCCTGTCCTACATGCCAGGCTGCCCTGCAGTGGTCAACCCCTCGGACAGCTGCGAAGGTGTGTTAGCCAGCAGGTCCCCCAGTGCGCCGTCATCTCCACAGGAGACGACCAGAAGGTCGCCCCCCTGGGCACTGGGCACCCCACTGGGGGCGCGTGAAGCTTTCGCTAATACACTCCCTTTTCTGTATGGTGCTCCCAGCCCTACGTGAAGATATTTGTGTACACTAAAATTAAAAGATAACCGTAGTTGATCACTGTCTCCGTCCCGTGGGCTCGCTTAAACCCCGCCCTCACGTGCGAGACTTCCCTGGGGACGCTAGGCTGGGTCAGGCTGTCTAGGGCACGTGGAAGGACGGGTGCCCGCTGGCCCAGTGCCTGCCGTGCACGACGCTCTGGGGTTGATGAATCCTGGGCCGCACGGCAAGCTCGAGGCCGGCCTGGATTACTCGGGACTCGGAAACTTTACGACACAAGAGAATCCTGCACCGTGGCTTCCCCATCGTGACAGGCCACGCCTCAAACTGCAGGTCACGACGCGTCCTCCTCTGCACAAGCGACTCACAAGTGTGGCGTGGTGACGCACACCTCTAGTCCCGGGCGCTCGGGGGCCGAGGGGGGAGCACGACTCGGGGTTGGGGGCTCAAGTTGTGCTCCGTCCCCCCCCCCGCAGTTCCCATGCACTGCATAGCAGTTGTCCGGTGACTACGGTAATTAACTCTCCTCGGGGAGCGGCTTTAAGGATCTGGTTTGATCCTGATCACACAAGAAGCCGTAAATGGCTGCACTTGGGGGTTAAAGGCCCGCAGCTGAAGCGTCTCTCCGCCCTGTTGTTACTTCTGCTTTTCCCGTACTTTCCACCCCAACTCTGTTAATTTCATCATCACCATCATCATAAGCATTTCTTAAAAACACAGCTTGTCCTCCCCCGCGCTCCACAGCCCGAGCTGGCGGCACACACCTGCAACCCTGCTCTCAGGCGCCGAAAGTTCAAGTCCACCCGGGAGGGCCACAAGCAGGGGGGAAACACGAGATCGCGCTTCACAAAGACACCCACAGCCCGCTGCCGCCTACAATCAGTTGAGGGCAGCTGGATACCCTGAGGAAGGGAGGTCGGCCCCCGAGCTGCGATTCCCCAAAACTGCGGTGTCAGGGCTGCAGGGCCGCGAGGCCAAACCCTCCCAACACCGTCTCCTCAGAGAACGTCAGCACAGACGACAGTTCACACAGACTCCTCACACCCTCTCCTCAGAAAATAATGTCAGAGTAGACTGTTCACACAGACTCCTCACACCCTCTCCTCAGAAAACAATGTTAGCAAGGACGACTGTTCACACAGACTCCCAACACCCTCTCCTCAGAAAATAATGTCAGAGTAGAGGACTGTTCACACAGACTCCTCACACCCTCTCCTCAGAAAATAATGTCAGAGTAGAGGACTGTTCACACAGACTCCTCACACCCTCTCCTCAGAAAACAACGTCAGAACAGACGACTGTTCACACAGACTCCTCACACCATCTCCTCAGAAAATGTCAGAATAGATTCACACAGGCTCACACCCTCTCCTCAGAAAACGATGTCAGAAGAGACGACTGTTCACAGACTCCTCTCCCTCAGAAAACAATGTCACAGTAGACGACAGTTCACACAGCCCCCCCAAGCCGGGCGCAGCTCCCCGCGGGCGCCCAGAAACTCACACCTCCTGAGGAAACCCCGCCCGCAGGTCTCCCGGACGCGGCCCAACAGCAGCAGCCTTTCTGCCCCGGGGGAGGCGAGGCGAGGAGAAGCAGGGCAGGGCCAGCACCGCGGGACGCCCCCAGGGCGCCTCTGTCACGCATGCGCGCGCGCCCCAGCGGAGCCCCGCACCCCACTGGCCCTGCACAAAGCGGGGGAGGTCGGGGACGCCCGCCCTCGGTCTCGGGAGGAGCCCCAGCCGCTCGGGCCACTCCAGAGCCTTCCCGCCAAAGCCGCGTCCAATCAGACAGCGCGCGTGCGCTCCAAACCCCGCTGCGCCCAATCACAAGTGGGATGCGGCGCCTCACGCGGCCCCCAAAGCGCCCTGGGCCAATCAGCCCCCGGGAGAGCTCGTTAAATCCCCCGGCTTCCGGCCGGGCCGTTAGGCGCACGAGAGTGGCGGTTGAGGAGCTGTGCTGAGGGACGGACGCTGAGGCGGCTGAGGCGGCCTGCTAGGAGTTCAGCATGGTGAGAGCAGCCCCAGGCCGGGTGGGCGCGCGAGGGAAGCCCCGGTCTCCTCAGAGCGAGCGGCTTCCTCAGGGCCGCGGTCTCCTCAGAGCGAGCGGCTTCCTCAGGGACCCCGTCTCCTCAGAGTGAGGTTCTTCCTCGGGGCCGCGGTCTCCTCAGAGCGAGGTTCTTCCTCAGGGACCCCATCTCCTCAGAGTGAGGTTCTTCCTCGGGACCGCGGTCTCCTCAGAGTGAGCGGCTTCCTCAGGGACCCCGTCTCCTCAGAGTGAGGTTCTTCCTCGGGGCCGCGGTCTCCTCAGAGCGAGGTTCTTCCTCAGGGACCCCGATCTCCTCAGAGTGAGGTTCTTCCTCGGGACCGCGGTCTCCTCAGAGTGAGCGGCTTCCTCAGGGACCCCGTCTCCTCAGAGTGAGCGGCTTCCTTGGGGCCCGCGGTCTCCTCAGAGCGAGCGGCTTCCTCAGGGACCCCGTCTCCTCAGAGTGAGGTTCTTCCTCAGGGACCCCGTCTCCTCAGAGTGAGGTTCTTCCTCAGGGACCCCGTCTCCTCAGAGTGAGGTTCTTCCTCGGGACCGCGGTCTCCTCAGAGTGAGGTTCTTCCTCAGGGCCGCGGTCTCCTCAGAGTGAGGTTCTTCCTCGGGACCGCGGTCTCCTCAGAGTGAGGTTCTTCCTCAGGGCGCGGTCTCCTCAGAGCGAGCGGCTTTCCCGGGGCACTTGGTCCTGTGAGGGTCAACTGGGGCAAAGCAGGCCAGGAATCGCCGCTCGGGAGGGCCAGGGCTTCAGAGACTGGGGCCCCTGGCCCAGGATCTCGCGAGAACAAGATTGTCCGTGGGATTCAGCCTCAGCCTCGTGTCTCAAGACAACAGCACAGGGGCCGGGGGGTGGACAGGTTTTGGAGAGGAGCTTTCGTTTGTTTTCAGTTGCCGGTGCCCTTGACTGAGGGAACAAGCAGTGGCGGTGGTTGCAGAAGGTTCCAGAAGCTACCAAGCTTTGTGGCCTGTTGCTCACGATGGACAAGTGAAAGTTGCGGGCGCAGAGGGCCGTGGTTGGGGATGTTAGGACAGGCTGCCTCCTGGGTGTAGGGAGCACGCGTGTCCGCCACGGGCGCCCCCAGCCTCCTGAAGAGCCTTGGTGTGTTGTGGGCCTGCTGCTGTCTGCCGTGTTTCGTGGTTTCCAAGGGGGGGCGTTTGTTCCCCTTAGCAAGGGGGTCTGAGATGCGTGGCCTGGCCTGGCGAGCCTTACGGGACGAGGGGGGCTGGGGCAGGAAGCGTGGGTGTCCCGCACCAGTCTGAGTCAGTGACCTTGAGGCCAGCAGAGGCCAGCAGAGCTGAGAGGCAGAGAAGGCAAAGCCGTGTCTTCAGCTTTGCTTTAGATTGTGTGGGAGTGTCCGAGAAGTGTGTTCACGCCCAGTGTCCCAGAAGCCACGGAGGAGCTGGCGTCTGGCGACCGCGAGCCCCGCCCTCTGCAAGGAGAGCTCCTAACTAAAACCTCTCCAGCCCCAAGCAGGGGGCCTCAATATTTGTGTTCACTTGAAAGTAACACGTGCACTGGCCGCTGGTGGCGCACGCCTTTAACTCCCAGCCCTCGGGAGGCAGAGGCGGCAGATCTCTGTGAGTTCGAGGCCAGCCTGGTCTACAGAGTGAGTTCCAGGACAGCCTCCAAAGCCACAGAGAAACCCTGTCTGGAAAAACCAAGGGAAAAGGAAAAAGTAACACATGCTAACAGATACTACGTAAGATCTGGGTCTAAATGGGCAGAATTTGTCGTGTGTCTGTCTGTCTGTCTCATTCCAGCCTCCTAATTGAGCTGGTCACTATCATGCACCACCACGCCTGGCTTGGTCAATCAATTTTTCACTAAAAACTGTTGAAGACTCTCCAGTCCTGTCACCTTGTATGCGTGCGATTTTGTGTCCTGTGTAGGCGGGAACTGCAGGAGACCAGGGAAGAGAGCTGCTCACTGAGCTGCTCAGTCTTTCTCTCTGCCCAGCCCTTGTGACCAAGCCCCGCCCTGCACGGGGTGGGCTGGCCCCTCCTACTTCAGTCATTACTCAGGAGAATGCCCCACGACAAAAATGAGCCTGCATGTTTTTGTGCATGCCTTAATTTTTCATGATTGTGTTGGGGTGAGCCCACAATACCGTCGATGCCCAAGGCGTGGGCGGGGTAGGGACAGGCGAGGGTAGAAAAGGAAAAGAGAAAGCAAAGCCGGCGCGCTTCTCGTCGTCCCAGCCGTTAATAAATGTATTAGTTTCTCCGCTGCATTGACTTCCCTCATCATAATTAACCTTTGAAAACTTGCACAGCCTCCCTGTAAATTAAATAGAATCTTTTTATTTGCTTCAAAAAAACTGTCATCTTTTCATTGAAGAATCTTTGCAGCTTTTTCCTTGGGAGGCGTGTGTTTATTTTTCGAGGCACAGAAGGCTTGCTGGAATTTTTTAAATATTGATAAAGGATTATATTTGCTTCATTTTTATTTCCATTGCTTGTTTGTATGAATGTGCCCGTGGCTGCGTGGAGCTCAGACGCGCAGGAGTTAGTCTCTTCTCCAGAGTGGGCCCAGAGATGAAGCCGGCCTCTAATCCCAGCACTAGGGAGGCAGAGGCAAAGTATCCTTGTGAGTTAAGTCAGCCAGAGCACCATAGTGCGAGCCCTGTCTGAAAACAAGGGCAAAGGGAGACTGACAGGAAGACAGACAGCAAGGTTTGGGGCTTTCCCCAACAGTGGGGATCCTGAGGCCTATCGAAGGTGTAGAAATACCTAGCCAAAAATAGTTTCCTATCGTCTGAACTGGAGTTAACACTTACTTTCAGTGTTGGGATAAGTATTTCAGTTTTTAAGTTGACCCCAAGCATGGGTAACTACCGATGTCACTTGAAAGATAGCACCAGTTTTATAACGGAAGCCATACATGAATGCAAACAGCAAGAACATACCATATACTCTGCATTACATTGTGATAGTGTTACTTATGATATTGTGCTCAAGGACCCAAGATTTGGCCAGGCAGTGGTGTGCACATCTTTAATCACTCAGGAGGCAGAGACAGGCCCACCTCTGTGAGTTCGAGGCCTGCCTGGTCTACAAAGCTACACAGAGAAACCCTGTCTTGAAAAAACAAAAATCTGTTTTCTAAATCAGTTTATGGCCACATTCATAGCTATCCTGGTCATGTCTAGCCCATGAGCGACAGATCACATACCCCTAGTGTAGACTATGCGATGTGACATCCTGCAGATTTCATTTGATCTGTACATATTTGTAGTGATGACTTACTTAAAATTGAACAAGTGGCCACTGAGTGTAGTTATGTCCTGGCATGAAGCAGGTGCTCCATTAAAAAATGATGGCTTGGGTATAATCAAAAAGGTACAATTTTATAAACAGGGTTAAAGAAACCATAAACCAGGTATGGTAGCATACATGTGCTTATAATCCTAGCACAGAGTATACTGAGGCAGAAAGAGTACAACTTTCAGGCCAGCCTGGGCTATGGTCAGTCCCAGCCTTAAAATGTTTAAATAAAGAAAAATCAGGATAAACTAGCATCTCCATACTTCAGTGTCTGGGAACATTACATTCCTAGGCCTGGGGGGGGGTAAGGGCTGGTGTCTGGGCTGACAGAAGACACAGTGACTAACCAGGCTTGGACTTGGTGACCTAGGACGTACTCTGTTTTATCCTTTAGTTGGGCCACAGTTAAAACCTAGTAGACTTTTTTTCAGAGAATTACTTCACTTATTCCTAATGAGCTCTTAAACGTCAAGATTCTTGAAGAGTGGCAAACATTTCTGCTCTGGGGCTAACTGGTGTTTAGCAGTAAGTTAGCCTGGAGTGAGGGCCCACGTCTGTCTTCCTAGCACTTGAGAGGCTGAGGAAGTTGAGGCCAGCCAGGGTTAGAGGAACTATATCAAAATGGGGCAAGTTTAGAGCAGGCCCAGCTGCTTTCTTTCTGTGTAAGTTGTGTGCGTGTGTGTGTGTGTGTGTGTGTGTGTGTGTGTGTGTTGAGATAGGGCTGAACTTGAACTCTCCCTGGTGGCGGTCAGTTTGTGTGTGTGCGTGTGTGTGTGCGTGTGTGTGTGTGTGTGTGCGCTGTGTGTTGAGATAGGGCTGAACTTGAACTCTTCCTGGTGGCGGTCAGTTTTAACAGAGATAAAGGGCATACCTGAGCATTGTTGTGAATAAAGTTTGAAGATGGACACTATGGTATTACACAACTATGTTTGTGTGTCATACAGTTTCAGTTGAATGATTATCATGTTTGTGTTCTGGATTCCAGCGTGAGTGTATCTCTATCCACGTGGGGCAGGCAGGTGTCCAGATTGGCAATGCCTGCTGGGAATTGTACTGCCTTGAACATGGTATTCAGCCTGACGGTCAGATGCCAAGTGACAAAACCATTGGAGGCGGTGACGACTCGTTCAACACATTCTTCAGTGAAACTGGAGCTGGCAAGCATGTGCCCAGAGCAGTGTTTGTGGACCTGGAGCCCACCGTGGTCGGTAGGTGCCTGGCCCTGGGTGGAGGCTTTCCTGGGGGAGGGAGTGTCTGAGGAAAAGCCCGCTGACGTCTCTGCAGAGTAGACAGCTGTACACTGTGTGCTTGTGACTTTGCTGTATGTGGTTTATATGTAACCAAAAACTATGAGACGCTGTTGACATACATGCACAGTGGAATTGAATGATCCTTGCCTGAAAGATTCACGGTACATGCGGTCTCTCTAGATGAAGTGCGCACCGGAACCTACAGGCAGCTTTTCCACCCAGAG